AAAATATAAAATATCTACAATATACAATATAATTCAAATATAGCCTAAGTTATCTACTATATAAATCAAAAACATCTCAAAACAAAAGGAATCTCATAACCTATATGCTAACTTAAATAAAAAAGTTTTAAGGGATTGCTTAAAAGTTGCCACTGAAGCACATTTCCTAATCTCTAGAGGTAAATCGTTCCACAATTTAGGTCCTGCAATAGAGAAAGCTCTGTCTCCATATGTTTTCAATCTGCTTCTTGGAACCACTAAATATTCTTTACATGAAGAACGCAATGACCTAGAGTATGTTTTAAAATTCAAAAGGTCAGAAATATAAGAAGGTGCAAGGCCATGAAGGGCCCTGTATACCAATAAAAGGACTTTAAAAGTTATTCTAAACTCAACTGGTAACCAATGAAGATTAATTAAAATAGGAGTTATATGAACATGCCTCGGTGTCAATGTGACAACACGAGCTGCAGCATTCTGAACTGCCTGTAGTCTAGCTAACAGATACTTAGGAAGGCCATGTAATAAGGAATTACAGAGATCAAGTTTCGAACTAATAAATGCATGGACTAAGATTTTACATGTATCTTGGCCTAAGTACTTGCGGATTTTAGCAATATTTCTCAAATGATAGAATGATGATTTACAAATGATTTATGTGTTATGAGTTATGATTTCATTATGAACGTTTGGTCGGTCAGTAATTGTGCACTATAAAAAATAATTAGCCAGAGGACTAACTGCTAATGCTTTGTGGAATATAAATCTTTTGCCTCCCTGAAGATCTAACAGTGACTATAGCTAAAATTAAAGAACTATATTGTTGATGGTTTTGGTCAGTGTTTTGGTGGATGTTCACTCCTGACATCCACCAAAACTACGTCACACCTGGGCACCTTTTAAATATGTGAAATATCTGCATAAAATTGCGTAAAATGTTTTATAATACTACAATCGAACAATAAATTAATACTTATCATTTCTTGGGTAAAACGTTTTGACACAAATTCCCAAACAAATACAATACTTTGGTCATCGGGATAAATCGGCATGTTGTCGTAGCTTCGTAATTTCATTTAGTATAACATGTCATGAGTTGTCCCTCATTCCATCTCAGTCCCTCTCGACCGAGGTGGTTTTGGTGGATGGAATCTAATGCTGACCCTATTGAAAGCTGTTTACATATCTGTTGATAATATTTTCAATAGCAGACGATTTCCCCTAGCCAGTTTCCAATCCTCCACTAGGAGAATCAATGTTGTTTCACAACTATTGTGTTTTCGATAAGCCGTAAGGCAATCACCATGACGATTATCATACTTTGTTGCTACTTGGTTTCCCGGTAGGCGTTCGAACACGTTGTTTACACATGACAGTACAGTTAAAGGTCTGTTATTCTCCTTGGTGTTCGTGTCCTCTCTTTTATAGACTGGTGTCCAGTCCCCTTTTTTCCAGTCCCATGGCCACTGACCATTTTTGATGTACGAGTTGTAGAGAGTGATAGAGATGTTTCCTGAGCTCCGGCCTTCAGGATCTTGGCAGAAATACCGTCATGGCCGGTAGTTTTATTTGCATGCAGAGACTCCGGTACTCTTTTCACCTGAGTCGAATTTACTTCCTGAAAATCAAACTTCTCAGAACCTCTTGATTTCTGCTCTATCAACTTCACACTTGGATGATTGGTGAAACCAATAGGTCCGCATATGATCGTCCAATCCCATCGGCAATAGTAGCAAACTGGTGTAAAACCATAGGTGAAACCAAACTGGTCTGCCAGTAAACTGGTCTGCCAGTATCTCTGAGACTTTAATTTGATCCATCACAGTATCGCTTCTGATGTTTGGTTGAGTATCCTGTCCGGACCTAACGCCTTTGTCACTGATAAAAAGGCTTAAAAAATCTGAAGAACTCTCTAGGTTTTCTTTTCAGGTCTTCTGATTTGGTCCTTCAATATTCTTAAATCGTCAATCTTTGTTTTGTAGCTTCGTTTCTACATTTCCGTTTGTCCTTCCAATTCTCAGCCGGTTTGTTTTGTCGGTATCTTGCCTCAACTTTCCGTTTCGCTCGTATGGCATTTTTTCATTTTGTTGTCATGTGCGGGACGTCTTGGCCCCTTACCTGCATTGTTTTGATAGGTGCGTGCTTGTCTAACATGCTTTTCATTAATGTGTTCCAGAAAAAACACTTGGTCATCCACGTCCTCGAAAACTTCACCAATACGCCAGGGTGCTAAGGATAAGTCTTGTCTAGAATTCTCACCATTTAAATTTTTATAGCTTCGGAAAGAAATTACTTTGGGCTTACTTAATTTCGTATCATCCCTTACTATACCGAAAATCAGAGTGTGATCACCTAGTGCTGGGTAGTAATTGCCACTTTGCTTGAATAATTTAGGCCTATTTGTCAACAAAACATCAATGAGACTGACCTATTATAGTTCCACGACGTTCCACACTGGTAGATTTCGTGACAAGACATGTAAAACCCTGTGCGGTTTCAAGATCCAGTAACAATTTACCCTCACGCTTGTCTGGTCTTAATTTGTTCAAGTTCAGATCACCGATTATCACGACAGAGTTGCTTTGGAGGCTTGCCTAGAAACAGACCTGACTGAGCTCATTCTCAATTAGTAACTGGTAGTCACCACATAGATTTCTTAGCGGACGATAAATTCTAATAATTACCATATTCTTAGTATCCGGCGTAATTTCCAATGCAGTTAATTCCAGTGTCTTGTAGTTCTTGGTGAGTTTAAGTCTTTTCTTAGTAAGTGAGAAAGACACCAAAGTCATAATGCCTCCACCACCTTTTTTTCCTGTCATACTGATAACGTGAGCAGCCAGGAAATCTTTAGAAACAGCAGAAAAGGATGTTTGGCACAGCAGTGTATCTTGCCAGCCACCAATGTTCGGAAATTGCTTCTCTACGACGTTTTTTGATTTATTGATAACGTTTTCGTCAAGGCAACCGTTGCTTAGGATGGTATTACGATCTTTCTCAAGGAGATCAACTTTAACAGACTTGGTAAGTTCTGTCGAAGTGTTTTTGTCCTCTTCGTTGGCACCAGATTTCAAAGGCATCTCTGCATAAGTGTTCGTGGTTGGGTGTGACTGTACAGGATGATGGTAGATCTTCAGTCTTAGGCTGTTAAATGATGTTTTCAGCTCAGTACCGTCTTCGTTTCGGAGCTCGTAGATACCTTTGGGTAACACCTGCTGATAGTATAGGGGCCTGACCACGCCCGCTCCAGTTTGCCTCCTTTGAATTTTAGTGGCCGGTGCTTTGCATCATACGATTTCTTTTGCCGCTCTTGCGCTTTGTCAATGTTAATGTTCTGCATTGCCTGAGCTTTCACCTGTCGCGAATGTTGATCATCACGCGGACTTGTATTAAACTAGTTTGTAATTTAATTTTGTTAATGTTTGTTATTCATTATGTATTTAGTGGTAATGATTACTCAGTAAGTAATCAAGCATGTTTATAAATATAAGTATTCTCATTACCTATTTGTAGGATAGCGTAAGGATATTATGGGGAGAAGTTACTTGTTAATCACTTCTAGGGGTTAGAGGGTTAAAAAATTAATGCAATTTTTTAAACAAGTTTGTATTTTAATTACGTTAATATTTGTTATTCATTAAGCTTTTAGTGGTTATGATTACCCAGCTAGTAATCATGCGTATTTATCAATTATGAATTTTGAACAAAAAAAAATTGCAAAGAAATTTAAACAATGATGACATGTGCACTTTACAATGGTATGCTGAAAGTTATCGTTAAATATATGGTAGAAAGGGAACGTCAAGGGAGGAGAGCATTTGGAACAAGACTCGACCAATTCTTGGAAGTGGGAGGGTGTTAGGGTTAGTATCCTCCTCCTCTGAATCTTAATTAAAATGCTTTTCTCTCGTCCACTTTTCTGCCTCTGAATGTTCATTTTTGTAGCGGTTTTCGGCATAAGTTATGTAACCTTTTTTTTTTCTTCTAGCTAAATATAAAGCTTTGTCTCTGAGTTATCTATTGGCTTCCTGACCTTGAAAACTAAACTAAGGATACAGGGATGACGAAGCTTGCATAACTGACACTTTTGTGGGAGTTTTGGGTGACAGAACCGCACGAATGAGCAGCGAAGTAAAGGAGGGAATGTGAATGAATAAAATACCGCTCGGCCGCATAAATTTCCGTTGAACGACCAAAAAACCTTCAGCTACGCAAGCTACAGACATACAGAAGTCCTTTTCAATTCAGAAGTTATCCTTTCAAACCCCCTTCCCTCTGCCCGCTTTCACCACTCCCCTTCCCCCCCTTCCCTCTGTCTGCCTCCACCAGCCCCCTTTCCCCCCTTCCCCCCCTTGCCTCTGCCCTGATACTGATCTTTCGAGTTGGGTTGTGACTCGAGCTCGGGTAGGCTTTCGAGCTCGAGTCACCGATATTGATTCCGCACAACATATGCTAGGAATGCAAGTGAAAGGTATTCCAAGCCTGAATACAGACGCCGATGACTTGTATGACATACTTTCTAGGGTTGCATTAGTTATGCTTACTTAAATATTGCATATCAGACGGCACATCTGGATTTGTTATTGTTGTTGTTGTCGTGCTAATTTTCGAAAAAAAAACTCGTTTGGTGTTTGGAAACAAAACATTCAATGGAGTTGGCTTATCATGTATTAACTGTTAGTTGAGTTTAACCGTCAGGGAAGCTTCTGATGACATTTGTTGGATTGTAGAATGCCAGACATCTAAACAAGCAATTGTACGAAAAAGTATGACTTAATAACCTCTGACAAGTTGAATTGTTTGCTAAAAAGGACCAAATAAACCTGGTTTTTTTGTTTTAGATCTTCACATCGTATTGTTGCTAACTGTAATCTGCTTAGACTTTTGATTGAAAATTCAGCTTTATTACTCGGTTATGATTAGCAATGTCAGCTTGTTGAGTGTCATGTTTGTCAACAAATATTTTTTTGGAAAATGAAACTGTGACGTAAACAGTCCAAATAATCCCGGCTTCAGATAAAACAACGTTGATTTACTTATTATCTTGTAGCAAAATTTTAATGTAAGTCTTATTAAATCTGTTCAATTAATAAGGAAAAACAATTGAACATTGTTTTTTTTCTTACAGACTACCGATTACTTTATACATGTGCTTAGTCTTGAACACGCGGCAACAACTCTAATGCTGTAGGGAGCCTAAGAAACAGAATGAACTTCCTTAAATGTATAGGCTACATTTAATAGAACAAAAGTATTTACTTGTAAAAAAATATTGATGATAATAACAATAACAAGATCCATGTGTGAAAAATAGAAATATAACCTACCAACTCAGATGATTAATAAGTCATTGGAAGAAAATATATACCGTTTATATTCTCTTGGCCAATGACCAAAATTAAATATTCAGTTATGGTCATTGGAAGAAAATATATACCGTTTATATTCTCTTGGCCAATGACCAAAATTAAATATTCAGTTATGGTAACACAAACAGCCCTCTCTTACCCCTTTAACTCCCATGAGTGACCAAGACAGAATCTCTCCTTACAATATTGATACAATATCAAGGAGACAAGTAATGAGAATAGACCAAAATTTCAATTAGGGGATTATAAGTTGATCCAATACCAAATTCTCCAAAGGATCATCAGAAGAATTGCATGGATTTTCAAATGAGATCTTGGGAGTGAAAGGGTTAAATCTGGGAACGGATTCACTTTTCCTAAATAATAACAATAACTTGTTCCATAAGCTTGCAACTTAAAAACGAATACTTAAATAGATTCGTTACCGCAAAGATACTCCTAACACTGAACAGTTTTTTTTATCACATAAAAAGCTATACCTCGTGGCTTATCTCGATTCAAGGATACTTCTAGTCTAACTAGAAATCCTAGAATGTAAGGCAACCATGACATGAGAAAGTGGCCCTAATAACCGCTTCATCAATGAAGTAAACGAAAAGAGCAGTAACTATCGTCACATCAAAGAATTGGTAAACAGAAAGGGAATCGTTTTTCAGGCTCTCTAAACTGCTGTAAACTGTTGTTGAAATGTTCTTGTCTTTGTTTTTCTTTAATGGAGTGGCTTTAATCAGCTCACCAAGCACCTTGATTGCGCGTTAACCTTTTATGAAGTGACTTCTGTCGTTTAAGAATAGGGTGTTGGTCAAAACTGTAGTTTCTGAGTAAATCTGTTTGGATACCGATACCGGCAAGCTGCTGCTCCAAGTTACTTTTAAGGACTTCACAAGCTTGGTGACTTGCTTCAAAATATTTACGGGCTTCGTTCTTGCCAGTGTTACTTTTATGCTCGAAATCCAAATGTAGAGAACACTGCTTTTGCAAAGTGACTGCAACCATTGGATGGTCGTCGCCAAAAATATTTCGATAAATATTTTCAGCTGTTTCCAAAGACACCTTTGATCTATTAACCATATTTAGGCCTCTTTCAGCATCACTCATTATCAATGAAAAATCTGCTTTCAAATAATCGCAATACCGCGGGAGATTGTTTAGAGCTGAACGAATGTCGTCATATGCCTTACCGTAATTTCCCATTAATATGCTTAACCGCGCTTTTTCCATCTTTGTTGATGCGATTTGTCGTTTAAATTGAAATGAGTTGCTTAAGATTTCTTCTGCTTGGAGTAAATCCTCGTTTGCCTGTGAAAGTATTCCTTGGACGTCCACCTCGTTCAAAGGCCAGTGGAATTCGTAGCTATCTAAAGCAATTTCGGTTTTCTTCCGGAGAAGTACGGCAAATTCGGGGTGGGATCTAATTTCTTGGCGTATGGGAAAACCAAGTTCTACTTCTCTGAGATATTCTTTAGCCATGTCAAACAAACCTAGCTTTGAGCAAGCGTAAGCCACCCGAACTGCTCCCCTCCGCACCTGAAATAAACAATGCACTAGAATTTTTGCCGCCTACTAATTGATAATTTTTAAACGATAATTTCCATCTTTATGTTGTTACCCTACTAAGAGAAAAGGCATCTAGTTACCTGCTAATCTATCGAAATCAAAGGTGGAAACAAATTTCGTCCTTGCTAGTAGAAGCCCTGATAGTTGGGGAAAGGGGTACAAAATACCAGGGTGTTCCCTTCATTACTGTTGAGTTGAAATCTGTTTTCCAACGAGTGGAGAGAAACTGGACACGTGTGTTACGATACAAGTCCTAATCGAATTCTGTGATCAACCTAAATTTGTCTCAAAACACAGCACGGATCTGAAATTTCAAAATCCGCTTACTTGTAAACGTAAGGGTGTGAAGGTAATTTGAAAAAATATCAAACTTTTGGGACCATGTTATGAAGAAGCGATCATGGAAACAATTTGTGGAATGATGAGTATCATTAAACTTTCCGATTAAATTTTCTGGTGTGTCGCCCCTATGCGTCTGTATGTACTCGTTACCTTCAATAGAGTTCCACTTTGCAGGATATTTGGTAAAAGGTGAAGTCAGGTGTTCGTTTTATTTTGTTTCTCCTTGCTAGGGCTATTTCCATGGTATTTAATCGAAGGCTCTATCTTTAAGAGGAACTGTATTTCTGAATATCTATCATTTTTGTCTTAATATAAAGAGTTTTTATTTTTTTTTTAAGGGAAACGAATCAATGTCATGAACTTGGAGAACTTGGTTCCCCCATTGTGTGTCAAGGCATTAAATATGTTTAATCCTCGCTCATGTTTTGATTCTGATTTTAAATCGATATTTATTAACAACTATTGTTACACTGGTTTGAAAGCCTAACTTAAAGTCTTAGTTAGAAATTCCTAATGCTACTGCTATGTTCTCTTAATGCCGCGATCGACCTCGGCCAAATGTCTTTGTGATCTTTTAATTATAGGAAATCTGAAATACAGATTGTAAGGAAATCTCGACATTCTTTTTACGCAATACTGCTTCAGCCAAAGTCACTTTGAACAAAAATTTTTTGCTGGCTTAAATAGATGGATGCTTCTGACATTCTTAATGGTCAATAGACAACAGCTTTCATATGATAAGCTAGATTCGACATGCAGGAGGACAGACACATAGATGACCTCACCATTTTCAAAATTTTGCTTTCTATCACGTAAAACAAATAGATTCCATATTGCCGTGGGTCTGTACAGTTCATTAAAAGACGTCAAAATGTGGCGAAAACACCAGTGACACAATCGGCTTCACCTTGTGTGCCACTGTTTTGTTCTTACCACATTATGAACGTCAGCTGTGATCTATCACTGAACAGAAGCACGGCTAAACTGAGCAAGTTATGTGGCGAAAAAATAGCGAAAAAAGAGCTGAAAAAGGGTTCTTTACCCATAACTGGCGGTGAAATTCACGAAAAATCGACAAACTGTTCGATAGGCCTACTATATATATCGTAAGATAAGTTTACCTATTTAACATACCTAGACTGGAGCAAACATTTTGACTCCTTAACTACAGTATTCCTGAAAAGGGCTCCTTCCAAACAAAAGGAAAATTCACAGGCCACTGTACTTCTACGTATCATAAAAATCTAACTCACCAACTGTGCGGTGTCTTTTGGCTTACCTCTCTATGTTCCATGGTATCTCCATGCATTTCTTTGTAGATTTGGAGAGCACAGTCTGCTAAATCTGCGCTTCTGACGGTTTCCCCGAGGATTAAGCAGACCTTGCTTAGCCTCTTTAGAGAATTAGCTCTCTCTAAAAGGAAAGAAAACAGCCGTAGCGTTAATATGTCATCTTTGATTTTGGGGTCTAATATGCATTGATCGAAATTATTACAATCGTTGGGGAATCTCTCGCTATCGCAGTGTTTTGCGAGTAAGGAGATCCTGATTTTCATTTGTAACGACTTGCATGTCCTCAGCTTAGCACCTTATCTGGGTGGAATATAATTCTGGTTGAAGGGAAAACTCTCTCCAGTCAATTTTTTTAATGATTGTTAACACAAAAAAGCCGTTGGAGTGACACAGGTCATTGTAAAAGAAAAAATGTCTTCTCACTCGTCATCCTAGAATATGAAAGGAGCCCTTAACTCAATCCATTTCTACGATTCAAGAGTAAGTTTCGAGCCGTTTCTGCAATTGAAAGTAACAATTTCGCTTATTACCTGGGTGAAAGCGAGAGTAATGGTGCATAACCCTTAGAGCGTTTAGTAACTCTTTCTTGGCTTGTGGAACCATTCCCATCTGTAGGTAGCCATACGATAAATAATTATAGTTGGCGGCCACAATGCGATGGTTACTACCGTGGATTTCCTTGTTGATATCTAACGCCTCTCTAAGACTTCTCACTGCATCGTCTACATCTCCCACATCACTTTGCGCATGTCCGAGATTTAACAGTGCTGTAGCTCTAGCTGTAACGAAAAAAAATCCTCTTGAGTTCAAAACTTCTCAAGGATTAGCGTAGCTAATGTAATGAATAGTTCAACCTCTTCGTTTTATTAATAACAAAACGATAACATTGTGGAGAAGACGATGAGAATTAACAACAACATACCAGGATGACTTTTTGTGCCACATTGTTCATCTGCAATTTTTTTAGCTTTCAACGCAAACTGGACACTTCTTTCAAAATCCCCCTTGTAGCGGTACACCACGCTAAGCTTTGATAAAATAACTGCACTGTAAATGTTGTTGTATCCAAACTTTTTATGTGCCATGTCCAAGGAAGCAATGCTCTCATCTAGTTTGTCCATATTTCTTTGCACAGAGGCCAAACGGCTGAGTGTCACGCCAATCTGAAAGGTAAGGTTTTTTAGGTTGAGACCATTTAGTCACTCGGTTTGTTCACGCCAGATAATTGCAGTCAGTTAGACATATCCTTACCGATTATGTTTTAAATAACACTGAATTAGAACAACCCAATGAAAATAAACTATGTGGTTTAAGGTGGCCATTGACTTAACACTCTCAAGATTTTTTTTACTCTTCTCGTTATACTTTTATTACTTAATGCCATTTTATTCTGCTATCACCCAAAGGTTGCGAGTTTCAAAATTTTCTTCGATAGATACTTGCAAAAAATATTGCAAGTTCTCTTGAGATTTCTTCTGCATACAGGTTTCTTGCTCTCTAAACAACTGCGGTGAGAAAAATTAGATAAGATAATACTTTTTTACTACAAGCACACTTCAAATTTATTTTAACAAACATGAAAAATGAACTTCCCAATCCTCGTGGAAAACATAATCTAGAGTTCAGTTTGTGGATTACGAGTATTGTATGGAATATTCGTGAATTATTTTCCAAAGTTGATAAACAGGTTCTCCATTCTCTTTTTCAATTTAATTGTCCCTATTCATATTGATATCGGAAAGGATCTTCCAACGCTCAATATTTCAAACAAGTTTACCGCTGAAAATTAATCGGAATCCGTTGATATGCACATTTGAAGACTAAAGAAAATTAATCGGCAGTTACTGTGTCAAAATCGTATTCATCGGTTTTTTGGTACATTCAACCCCATATTTAGAGGCGGATTCAGAAGCGTTTAATTACGACATATGGGCCGTGAAGAAAAGATAGGGAATACGTCCACTTAGTAGTAATTATCGTCTCTGAAAGTCTTCAAACTCCATTGGTCGTTAAGTTTTCCTCATTTCGTTGGGAAGAAAAGAAATAGAGATTCTTTGTACGCGCGCAACAAATCACAGAGCTATATAGGCCAAAACCAATTCCCTGTCTAGGACAAGTTTATTGGTAACATCTCTACCGAGTAACTCTACATCTACCAATTGAAATACAATAAACGGAGGATAACCATAACAGAAAAAGTGATGGTTAAATACCATATATTACATTAATAATAAAAATTGGAAGAAACTGGTTTATTAGTTGAAGAGGTTCAAGTTAGCATGGTCTAACGGCATTAGTTTGGCTAAGTAGGAAGCGCTTAACCTCTGCTAAAAACGCCACGGTTCACTGTGTTTCTAAGACCTCTTAAGAAGAGCTTGTTTAAAAGAGTCAAAGAGGTAGTGTATCTCCTCAGATATTTTGGCGCAACAAATATTTTATAGTTGGCTCTACCTAAGGCCTTAAAGCACTAACTTTTTGCATAAATCTTTAACGTTTGTTGCTGACCAAATCTCAACAGGACTCTCCACATCACCAACGCTTTGGCAGTCATTTGAAAGTACGACTTTAAGTAGTCATCCCATTTCCCAAGCTCTAATTCGAGCAAATGCGTCTCAGAAAATAGATCAGTTAAAGAAATGGAGTATTTCAACCTAAAAATTTACCAGGCAGTATTTTTCTAAAAGTTTTGGTAAAGGCACATAGACTGTGGACAAAGAACTTGAAGGACAAATTCTTCTGTTAAAAGAAACCCAAGTAAAGTATGTTAATGTTCTAAAACTGGCAAAACAGATGACGAATCATTTACAGAATATGGTTCAAAGTCAACGAAGTCTTTGCCGATGCCTTTGCAGATTTAGAGGTAAAACTTCCTGAACTTCAGGATGACTTTAACTACAATGCTGAGTACCAGAGATTACTGGTTAAAAATGGAGAAGTTCTTCTTGAGGTACTTAAGCTTTTTACATCTAATTTGACGAATCTGGTGCAGAAGACCACAAAGGATTCCATCGTGATGGTGAAAGCTTATGAATCTGCCAGAATAGAATATGATGCCTACAGAACAGACCTACAATCCATCCAAGTTGGACCAAGAACAGCAGCGACAGCTGTGAAAGCTGAAGGGGCAAAGCAGAAGTATGACGTCCAAAAAGACAAATTTGATGGACTTCGGGGTGATTTAGTGATCAAACTCAGATTTTTTGAAGAAAACAAGGTATTTTTGCAATTTATGTCTCTTGTGACACACTTACAGTTATAGCGGCGAGATGTTAATTTTTACACCTCCGCGATAGCCTTTACTCAAGTTGACATGAAAAAATTATAGAACTCCCTTTTGAAAACAAGAGCACCGAAGCATTTGTGCGGGGTTTCAGTCGAAACACTTTCAAAATCTGAATTTCCTTGATGATGCCACTTATTTCCATCTGATTACGGTATTTTTTACAGAAATTTTCAATAATCAACAGACGTAACTTTAATTGAAATTTTGGCCATTTAGAATATAGAAAATCCTAAAGAAAGACATTCTATATGATATCTTGTTTGAGGTCACAAATACCTTGCAAAATCTAAGCCAGAACTGTTTATTTTGTGTAAGCTTATATCAGCTTTTTTTTGTGTAATTTATATCAGCTTTTTAAAACTGATATGGCTATATCTAAGATAAAATGTTAGTCTTGCTTGGGCGGGGAGGGGGGGGGTTCTTAGGTCAGTGACATAGTTATTTAGGAGAAATTTTCGTAATGTTTCATTGATGTGAGCAAACAATTGTTGTGACAAATGCTCTATTCTGAGACTTTTCGTGTAGACACCTTAAACGCTTATTACGTGCAATGCGCCCGCGTAGAACGTTGGATCAGTTTTGCTGATTCTTTAATCTACTTCCTCTACAAAATGTAAACAATTGTCACTCTTCCAAAATGCAACTACAGCTTACTTTGCTGGAAATAAAGGGGCCCTGGATGACAGTATGAAGGAATTTCATAACAAATACAAGAACAACGATGGCAAGCAGCCATTTAACCTGGAACATTGAAGGCTTACCACCATAACATCAGAATCAAACTGTGAGCAGAAAGTTTATATATCGGAAAAATCAGTATTATTATGGAGGGCGAGTGCAGACAACTATCTAGCTTCTCAGATAACATAGCTCGTGTCATGAATGGGAATAATCCCCATTCACAACAAGTTATGTTGGACTTACAATTCATCATACGTCTGTAACTCGAGATCCGTTTAGTCTCCTAAAACGTGAAGCTTGAATACATATTTATCTGGTGTAAAAATGTAGTATTTGAGGTAAATCTAATTTTGTATCCCTGTTGGACAAAAAGTCATAGCGTCTAACAAGACATCCGGAGTGACCTGTGGGCTTCAAGAATGAAATGAAACACCGAGTATTTGCAAGAGTTTCCAGACAGAATTCATCTGCTCCACTGGTTCATGAATGTTATAAGATCCGGAGCATATGAGCTCCCGCATGATATTATGAATGCTATCTGCAGACATATGGATCAACAAGGTCCAATACCGCACTCTCACCGCACTCTCAAATTAACTGTTAGACTGGAGCCTAATAAGTAATAATGTTCGGGAAGGAAAATTGTGATGAGGCTGAAAACAACTAGAACGTAAATGTAAAATTATGGCTGTGATCTCTAAGTATTACATTACCCTTAGTTCGCTTGGTGATTCCACGGATTCAAAGATTTTGAGAGCCTTTTTTAAGTTCTCTTCTGCTTTACCATACAGACCAAGGTAGCGGTACGAAGATCCCAATGCACTCAGGGTGTAACCATATTCCTGTTTGAAGTTTTCTTTATCGACATAAATCTTCAGGGCTCTTTGGATGAAGTTACTGAGACAAAAGAGAACTTTTTTGATACATGAGAAAGAGTTACCCTCGCATGTTAATCTAAACTTAATCTAATCATCGATGTCAAACCCCTCACAGATCTCCCTCCAGTTTGCTTCGCTCGAGGCCTCAAACTATAAGGCACGCCAAAGCCGTTCGTAAACTCTTGTGAGAATATATCGAGTTTGCTGCGAATATAATTTTTTTAATAAATTAAGCAGAAGCAATATTTCGCTGCCTGTCTGAACCCTCCAAAGTCTAAAGTATCTTTCTAGCTGTTAAAAGTAAAAAATGGGAAAATGTTAATTGTAGTTATTGATCAGCCAGTGGTTTTCTTAGTGCCCTGCTTCTCATCACAAGCTATACATTCTACCCACACAATATTTAAACAGGAAGGAGAATAGATTTTCTCAAGAACTGATGAAGGTTTCATTAAAGCTAACTTGGGGTTGATGAACAGGGCAGTCGCTATCAAGAGTGAGTTTCGCTGATTTCTGTTCAAGGAATTTGAGTTTTTTGTGAGTGATGTGTCCAGAGCTGCAATGTCAGAAGGGAATCATCAAACTGGCTTTTTACGGCTTCGAAGAGAAAAAAAGATTTAGGTAACAAGAACGTTTATCTGATTTTAAACATTGCTTACATTTTGTTGCCGTTGTCATTTGTTGTCGTTGAAGTTTTGGATAAAAGTGGATCGGAATGTTTCGTCATGATCATTGTGAACGCGTAAAGATTGTGGATCCGGATGTCCGATTAAACTTTGTGCAACGGTTGACGTTAACTTAGGTAATTTTAACGTAAGTGTTACTTTGTCTGGGACATTCTATGGAGCGCAACACCTCGGTTTGACTTCTTTTTCAAATTTCTCATCATTTTCTCAAAATTAAAGAGCTGCGGGATCTTTTGAAAATGAATTTTGAAAATAACTTACCGAAGGTTATCTCTGGGCTATAATTAACTTTCTTCGATACTTACATAGCTTTAGTATGTATTCCCAGTTCGTTCAATACATTTCCAAGACTTCGTAGAGTCAAAGCAATCTGTGGGTGATCCTCTCCTTTGTAGAACCGCCATTTCTCTTGCAAGGCTATTTCTAAATACATTTCTCCTTCCCACGGGCTCGCGAGGTGACTATAAATTCATAAATTAACCCATGAGACTTCTGACATTTCAAGAATCTGTACCTTTAATTCGAATCCTCAGTTGAAATGCAACTAAAATTCTAAACTTGCTATAACGTATCCTTACTGCCTAAGCTTCAACTGATTGTCTCTCTTCTCTTCCTGTGTATATCGTGATCCTCAGCAGATTTACGAACCCTACACTGCGATTTATTCCGGCAATGTCATCGCACTTTTCCTGCCTTAAAATTGGAAATATTGGATTTAAAAAAAAATTTAAAAAAAAAAAGAAAAAAAGAAACTTCCCTAGAAAGGGAAAGAGCTTCTGTTATGTGTTGGTATATAGCATCGGTATCCTTCACAAGTATCTCCCCAGATTTCAATGGCTAATATTATGCTTTCGTTTTCTTTAACAAAGGTAATCCGAATTGTTATTCTTCGTAGAGATATTATAACAGCGACCTCTTCTGGCCCTTGAGGCTGAGGTTTATTAACGTAAAGAAGTGCAATCGTTAAAAATATTGTTTTGTGTATTAGGGTCGAGTTTTTTCTTCATATTGACATGTTCAGCATTGAATAAAACAAAAAATAACCAGCAACAAAATTGATCAAAAAACATTGAATTATGGTCAGGCATGAATTGATGCTATTTTTAAGCTTTCTCTATCTTTAAGATGCTTCAATTGCCTCTATTTTCGTATCAAAATGAAGTAAACTGGATTCTTAAAATTTAACATGAAAGCAAAACAACGAGCATGATAAATTTGTGATGTCGATGTTGAAAACTATGCCTTAGCTAGTTGCGCGTAGAATGTGTGGATTCAACTTATACCTGTTGCTGTGAGCTTCTCCCAGGAAGTGCCACACATTTGCCAGGTCAAGTTGCACATTCTCCTGGCCTTCATAGTTCTTGAAGAGATCTAGAGCAATCTTTAGGTTCTCCCTTGCTTCTTCAGGCCTTCCAAAGATGAGCAAACCTTCCCCAAGACAGGCATGTCCATTAGCCATGACGAGGGGGTCGAATTCTCCTTCTAGTTTCAACTTGTCCTTGAGCTTTAAGGAAAAAACTTTTTTTTTCAATGTAATTTATGCATTAAATGCATCATTCACTCCCACTCATATGCATTTTCCTTGTTCACGCAAGGCCACACCTGACTCGATTCAAAGTTAGTTTAGCACAGATGTCCTAGCTGTGCATTTTCTACAATCGTCCCGATCGAATTTTTCAGATATTAATTAGCAAAACTGCTGGCTCACTAGGGGCTGTATTGGCAATTTTGTTTGAACTTTTAAAATTAGGACATCATTACGAGTGGGAGACTACTATTAAGAGGTTTGTACAGCAAAATCCTGCCCTTTATTTCCTTGCAATGTTACACGCCAAATTCCTTGAAATACGCGGTTTATTGTGTCATTTGTGGTGTTCTTTACATTTCATTTTCCCGGCAAATGTTCAAAAAAAGGAAGATGGGTTTTCGAAATGTGAATCAGAAAAATCTTAAGAGGCGAGAAAATCTATCAGTTGTAAAGTATTTGATTGGCAAAGTTTACTAGAAATCCGATTGAAGAATGCCAAATGTACTGAAAAATTCGCTAGAAACCATGAGAACTGGGTGGGTGACAAGAAGTTTATTTCTTAGAGAAGAAGTCTTGCCTTAAATCCATGATGACATTTCTTAATCATTTGGCATCAAACATTTTGGTCTCCAGACTGTTTCCATATTTCAAAAGGTTAATCATCGGACAATACTAAGATTTTTGCCAATACCGCAACCACATATCTAGAGTTCATTGTCTTTTAAGCCTTAGGTTTTGGAAAAAGGGTGTAAAAGGGTGGAAAAAGCGAATTTTGTATTCTTTTTTTTATCTTTCCAAGATCAGATCAGTAGTTAGTCATTACAGGAACAGCTGTTTTAGTGCATACCTTCACAGCTTCTTTCAGATGTGGTAAAACGAAGCGCATCAATTTGAAGTCTATATCCGTGTTGTTTTGTAAAGCATCTTTGCATACCTCGCTCAGGCATTTAATCACGTGAGAGACATCGAGACACGACAAAGTAGGAGTGTTTATGTTGCGTGGTTTTTTTGGCCAGAAGCGAAATTTCAATGCGTACGTCCATGTCTTTTCTACGAAAATAAAGAAGGAGAAATAATAAATGAATAAAATTTTCCTACTAAAGGAAATACGATTTTTAAACACTAAGAGAAAATAAAGAAGGAGACCGCGTCTTGATTAAGATTTGAAAGTATAATGTCGTCGTCAAAAGGAGTAGAACAATTAGAACGTTAGAACAATAAAGCACTGTAGGGAAATAGAGGGAATGATCTATAATTAGAATCTAAAAATCTATCATGAATAATCTCTATGAGAAGGTTGTGCCCCATTATAATCATTCCACAAATATGAAGTATTTTGGCTAAAGAAAGATCCGGGGATTGCCTTTATTTTCGTATCTGTTCCAAAGTGTCAATGAAGTTAGGAGTTGTTTACTCCAAGGGAACCCTTACTCAAAAAAGCGAAAGGCTATTAATTCTCTGAGATGCAGGCGAGATTAGCAGCTTTCATTGCCCTCTAGGTTATCTTTGCTGAAACATAACGGTATTTATTTACTATACTTCCGTTTTTTCTTTATATCACAGACTCAGGGTTTTACGGCCATTACTAATGGAACTTAGATTTCCAAGTCATCATTGCATATTCTGTCAGCAGTTGCTTACATTAAGTGACAGAGCTAATATTAAATGTTAGCTGGCAACTAACCGGTATCACTTTGGCTTTGCCCACAGAGTATATCTCTGAGCATGGTGTGGTGTCTTGGATGTAAGGTTACCACTTTAATTTCTTCTCTCACGGAGAGATCAACAAATTTTTCGAAATTTGCTTGTTCCAATGGACCTGTAATACCTTTACATAGAATTTCTAGGGGCAAGTAGTTCTCACTAGAGCAGCAGGCCAAAAATTTTAACAGCTAAGGATAAACGAGAGAACCAAAGATGTTAGTGATTAGAACACTGCCGAACTGACATATAAAAGGAAGACCGGTTCAACCATTAATCTAGGTATAATTCTCTAACATCGCAATTCTGAAACTTGGTAGTCTGGCTCTCCGTACGGCAAGATAAACTAAAAATTTTGAGCTTACCTGCGTTTGATTTTCACGTGTTAGTTCCATCATCATGGTAAAATACTCGGGGAATGAAACTCCTTTCGGTGGTACTGGTAAATTTTCAAAATTTAGTTGTCTATTCGTTTCTTCTTGGTATTCCCTCATAAAAGCTCCAAACCTGTTATTGGAACAATTAAAATTACAGATATATAACCTCTAAAATGCTTTATAAAGGGATGGTCTCTGATGAGTTACCGTCTACCGTGAGTTGATCATTCATGATTTTTACTGATTGGTTGATTCATTGGTTAATGATTGATTTTGAAGAGGATTAGAAAGAAACTCTCAAGGTATTCAAATCGAACACTTAGCTTTAGTTTCTTTTAAGGTAAAGGAACTCACTTTGCTATATCCTGGGGAATGAAATGTACCAGATTTGCGAAGCGTTCAGCAACAGTTAAAGGCATACCACTTTTTTTCGCAAGAAATTTGACTGCATCTTCTTTCGTCATTTTACCGATGAACACCTTCGCTAATGGATAGTCATCACCTTCCTCTTGCAGTAACTTAGAATCTTCAGTGGTCATGATCACCAGACCATTTCCAAGGCTTGGATCACCTGGCGACGGCCAAAATTGTTGTTGACTTGACCTATCTTCTTTAGCACCTTCTATCAATAGCACCCAGGAGCCGTGCCGTCTGATGGTCTTCATAACTTCTTCGTAAATTTGTTTCAAAGGTTTGTCGTAGGCATTTTCTTGACATTGATTTTGAAGATTCATGTGGTATTGTCTTCCTTCTGATGTTCTGCTGAAAAGTGATAGTTCCTGATTTGCAGCCTTGGCCTGTTTAGTCAGACCGATTTCTTTGGCAAGGCTACAGAAACTTTCGAGCATCGTTTCTTTATTTGTTGCGTTGATTGTCCACAGGACTGTTGGTCTGTTTCGAAAATTCCACGATTGGTTCCAGAAGAATCGCGAGCATACAGGTTTAGTGTAAAGTTGATCCATCAGATTTGCCGCGCAGTGCACTTTACCGTGTCCTGCTGGCCCATGTAAAATCAGGGTCTTCACGCGCGAGGAATTACCATTTTTGCAGAGGCGTTTCAACGTATTCATAACTTCTTTATCTTCTTTTCGCTGATAAAATCCACGACGAAGTGGAATCCTGACAGCATGGACTTTTCTTGGAAATCGGTGTCTGATTAGTTCAACGAATTCGTAACCCTCTTTCAACAGCTGGAGCATCGTCCTCATCTTGTTTTCCTGAAAGTCAAGTTTTATCCAATCTACTTTTTAGTAAAGCAATTCATTCGAGAGCACAGCTAGAGTATAGCTGCTAATGTGATCCCTCTCTACTTTCACCTAATATTATGGTGTACGAATCATTTTCAAAGTGAATCTAATCAAGTTCTCTGCTCCTGCTGAAAGGGTCTCTCTCTTCTTTTAGTTCCTGTTTTTATTTTGTTTTTTGTTCTCCGAGAGTTACTTGAACACTCGGCTTGGTATAAACTTCACAAGTATTGTGAAAAAATGAGAATCGAATGTTTTGACCATTGACCCTTTCGTACAGAACAAGACTTATATAGGGTTCCTATAGACTGTTTCCGACACAATGTTCCATTTTTTGGAATGATGCAGTATTGAATCCTTTGTTTTCACAGACAATTAGTTATTTTTCACCCACTTTCCATATTTTTCTCTCGTTGTTTCAATTTTTTTTAGACTGAAATGACCGCCCTGTCTAAATATTTCAGACATTCAATTTGTGACCATGATGTTTTGTAAATAATGTCACAACAGCTAATGAGTTTCATAGATGATGTCACTTCCAATTTTATTTTTGAGCTTTCATTCGGAAAATTTATGGAATCATTTTCTTCACTCAATTACGAGTTTCTTTTGTGTTGTAAAATTCAAAGGGATGCGTAGGTGTAGCGAAAGGAAAACTAGCGTCGGTATTCATGGACGGATTGCATTTACATGCATATCGAAAGAAATAACCGTGATGCAATCGCTCTATATCAGTGTTGGTCAGAACATGAGTTAATTTCAAGTAGGAATTTTCTGTAAATTCCTCGTCGGTAACCTCAATCTTCGTGAATATTTACGGTATACCATTGATGTATTCAACAAACCAATGGCATAAAATGACGTGACGTTGGCCGCTACTCCGACCTTGCTTCCGCTTTGTTTATTTTAAATAAACATCTGTTTTAATAATTAAGATCTAAAAGGCGGAGAAAACTAAAAGGAAACGAATATCGCAGATGGAAATTGAAAGTGATCATTGCGCGGGAAAACCCCGAACGCCTCGTTACCGATCTTATCTTTAATCTGCTGAATTGACCTTAAAGATTATGGTTTTTGAAGAAGATATTCGATTCTTCTTGGTATCCATGTTTTCCGTAAGATGGCGAAGTAGTCCGATGGTATTTAAATTTTTTTCATATATATATTAGACAACATTGCATTCTTGATATCGACCAGGAATCATTATGCAAACTTTTGCACAATATGCAAATTTGGGGCTATGTACCGTGCATATTTCATGTAAGCGGTCGACGGTAGAAATAGCCGTTCTGTATATTCATATGCACTTCGCACATGGCACTACAGCGGAAAACGAGGTGGAAAAAACGTACAATCACCCTTAAAGCACATGCAAAATGTGCAAACGTTTTTGTTGAGGTACGAATATTTTAGTTTAGGTATGGCGTAATAATCCTGATTTCTAGTGATTACGACCCCGCTAAGGTATTGTGCCAACGGAAAACTCGAGTTCGAAAAACAATTGGAAATTCTAAAATTGTAATAAACACTGCCGACGGCTGAAATATATATATTAATTCCAAGTCGTTACCATGTTTTTAAAGTTGACTCCCAAGTGCTTTGAAATTCCTTGTCTAAAGTTATGGGAACCGATGATCGTTCCTGTAATTCCACTCTTCACATTCGATGTTTTTAAAAGAATTTGTCTCTAGCCAACAATCCCCTTGTTCTCTGTAAGGCAGACGGGGAACATTTGCTGGTTTGACAAAGTCAGCTAGATCAAAAGTGTGACATAATTACGGAAGCGGGAAAAACCCCATATTGAGTTTCAATTTCGATGTCTGTTCTGTTTCCCTTATTATCAAAGGCCAAACAAATGGGATTTGAATTCTTGCACATGAAACCTTCCACGTACGTTTGAAAGATTTGCCATCATGCTTTAAACATTTGGTATACTACGACCAAATTTTTTATGCCTAATGGAAAATTAGGCATAACGATGTTTGTGTTTGATCCGTAACTTTGTAAGTATTTTGTTTAACTTTCATTTTCACTACCTTTCTCTTCTCAATGCGGAAATTGATGAGCATCCAGTAGTTCCTCGTCTAAATTGAAGTTTTTCCTGTTAGATTCAAGGGGAAACCTAAATGAGAAGAGAGAAGATATTGCAAATTGAACAAGCATGAGAAACAGACGGACATTCATGTATTAAGTCCTTGATCAGTCGATCGAAATGTTAAGTTCATTACGTTCATTAAGTTTAGTGAAATATTCAAAGGTACCTTGTTTATTCTTCTCAGTTTCCAGATGTTCATGAGTTTTAACGGAGAAGAAATACCTTACAAACCGTTCACTCACCTTGCCACACTACATCCCGCTTTGAGTAATCAAAGAAACATGTCAAAAGAAACTCATTGTGCACGGAAAGTGAGTATTTACCCAAACTGTTCTCAAGTGACTTAATGACCTCTAATCCGTTCAGATCCTCTTATTAAATCGAGAATATTCGGAATCGATGAACGCGTCATCACGCCGCTGATCAACAACGCCACACCAGGAATGAACTCTGAGACGTCAATATTGTTATATCTTGTAAAGTATAACTTCATTTAGTGTCCCCAATTAGCAAAAATGTTTAATCATTTTGATACCCAAATTAAGTTGATGCGTGAAAGTTTAGCAGAACTACAGAACAAAAATTCACACGGAAATATGAGAGGTAACGTAAGCAAAATAGTAACTAAGACTTACCTTAATAATTAATACTGCTTCAAAAAAATTGATGTATGGAGCAAAAAGGATTTAACATTAAAAGAAGGAAAATTAGTTGAGCTTCGTAGTATAAGCAAGCCAATGATCAGGTTCCCGCAATGTTTTTTTCTCTTTTTCTCTTCCTCCTTTCTGATGTATTAAAACAGCCACGCTAATAATAAACTATTTGTTCCATGGCAATAGTGCCGCTGCAATATTAAAAGTAATTAATCGTACACAGAAACGTCATCAAATTAGAGGAATAAGTTCTTAGTATCCTCATGTTGAAATTTTTGATTATTTGTCACGCACTAGTGCTCAAACCCATGCACTGTATGTAAATTTAGGAGACGGCGTAATAATACCCTCCTTGATGTTGTGAGTAGCCTCTCTTCCCTTTTTTTTCCTTGAGTTGCGGGAAAATATGGTTTAGTTCTGAAACGTATTGGGTCCCCAACTTGGCAAATGTTATATTGTATTGCTGTGGTGTTCAGGTATCGTCAAACGTAACTCTATTTTGAGAAATTGATCATTGGAATTTAGCATCGTCTTAATTGTTATACAAATGAAATGCCTACCGTATTTACTCGTGTATACGTCGACCTCCCATTTTCAAGGTCAGAAGTTGGATTTTTCATCATTTCTAGTCAAAGAAGTAAAATTCAGACAGATAGAAATTTCCCCAAAAGTTAATCTCTTATTTCTGATAATGTATTGAAAACACCGGGAATTAAAAGAACTGCAGAGCAAAATATAACCGTGCGCTATGAAGTTTATAAGCGCTTGTTTATATCACCACTATTTGAGCATACACGAGCACTTCGATTTACTGGAGAGGTATTTTACCATATTTTGTGAATCACATTGAAAATGAAATCTTCTTGCATTTAACTAACCTTTTTCTCAAAGTTTATTTCGAAAGGAGATTAAGTAGACCGAAAGAACACCAAAGAGCTTCGAAGGATCTTGCGTGGCAAACAAGACGAGACAACGGCACTTGCCAGGCCACAAAGCTACTAAAATCTCTCGATGAAAACGAAAAACAGCAGCGAAGTATTCGCAAACAATGCTTTTATACGGACAAAAAAACTGTTCATAGTCTGTATTCAATATCTATCATACGTATCTAATAGAATAAGAGAGAATTCTTTCAAGTGCGACTTTTACGAGCGCAATAACTTCGACATCAATACCACGCTCGCAGTTAAACGACGAATGCATCAAAGCATCAGCGATGCTATCGAAAGGGATTCTGCCCCTTTTTTTTAATATCTATATCTTATATGCTCACCTTAAGACTGGTTTGTCGCTGTTTCGAGAGGTATTCTTAAATTACCTGTGACACGAAATTTTTTTGGGCGTAAATGTTTAGCTTATCATATGTACAAACCAATTCCGGTAGAAGAAAGATTTCAACATACTTAAAACTCGGTTTTCTCGGGCCTTAAAGTCCACTTATTTTGTCTTAAAAGTGTCCCGTGGACTGGTAACGAATTAGCGGGTGATGACGTAGAAAACTGTGGAAACTCTCCGTTGACACTTACAAATCTCTCACATCTCTAGTAATTTTGCACAGTCAGTGTTGAAGTACTCTCAAAATAATGACCGATAGCGATGTATACTTACCTTCAGCAAGCTCCACCGAGAGTTTTGTTACATCGTACTCAAGTAGTAAAGAAGAAATGGAAGTTGCGAGTATGGTTTAGCCCTACCAAGGAGAACCGCGTGCATCAAACGAAAGTTTCGACGAAGACCGACAAAGACGGTTTCTCGCGTGCGGTATTCAGGTCAAGATTAGAACAAAAAGCTCCTATTACAGAATGTTTAATTTGCTGCCTATGTGTTTTGTTTTCTATGGCGAAATCTATGTTAAGAATGGTGTAAATTACACTCCAAGTAAAGTTTAAAATTCGTACTTTACTGCTAACGATTCACTTGAACAAATATTTGTAACAAATACCGAATTATTAAATACGAACTTGGGAGACCAAAAAGAGGTACAAATACAATAGAAACGAGAGAAAATACACAAAAAAAATAGAATACTTCAGTACAAGATCTTTACGGCAACAACGGAAAAAAAAACCAACAACTAGCTTACAAGAAAAGAATGCTAACTTTTATACTAATTAAAACCAGAAAAGAATACAGCAAATGAACTTAAGTAACCAACACTAAACGATTACGTAACACGACGCCAAGAATGGAAAACAACGGATATTTTGAACAACAGCATTGAAACCAAACTAAACACGATGAAAGAACTAGAATAATTAGGCAACAAAGAATTTTGAAAAAATTCGCGGAAAAATTTACTTCTCGTGGTTACAAAGGGGTAATTGTGTTCGTTTTTGTTGCCATAACATTTCATTCCTTCACACTAAGTTCGGCGAAGGTTCCCCTTGGTTAGTGCTTTAGACTTTCGTTGCTGTAGGCTAACTTTTGACGAAAGAATCGGCTGTATCACGAGGCTCAATGATTTTGTGCCGAGAAGTCATCGGGCAGTTTCACTACAAGTTGCTCCTTCCCTCAAAGATTGCAAAGGCTCAGTGAGGCGGTCGGACGGAAAACGAGTGAGTTTATCTGATGTAAGTTAACCTCAAATATAGATTTTAATAAAGAAAACTTCGTTAGTATAAGTGCAGCATTGCCATATAATCCATTTCGCTCCATGGCAAATAACTGACATCAGTATTGTAAATTAATATTTCGTATGCATCGACTTTCACACAGCGCTCAATAATTTTTTTTTCTTCATCTGCAGTGCTGTTATCACATTGACATTGATACTGTTGCTACTTTAAGTTTCTTGAGGGCAGGGGGGATTTGATGGCTCGTGGGATGTTTTTTGGAAACTTTGGTTAGAGGAATACACGGCCCCTTCGCGCTTGTGTTTATGCCAGTGTCCGCCAGAGGTTTCGCTCTGTTCACGCAACGGGATATCGGTCAGTTCAGGAAAGGGCTGGTAGGATTTCCGTACGATCATAAGAAGAGCGCAAATGTAATCATGTGAAAAGACAAGGAGTATGTGTACATCTCAAGTGCGTGAAATAAACAACAATAAGGAGATAAGGAGTTCACCATTCTTCACTTGCTACATGTCAGCCGAAAATAATGTTGAACAATTGTTTACGGTGTGGTAACAGGCTTCTTAATCAGCATTCTTTTAAACTGGATTATTTGGTTATCTTCTCCTGATTTTGCTGGTGGTATGTGTTCGTAACAGCCGCTTTCAGAGCCGATACGGAACAAAAAGCCGACGACATTGAAGAGTAAATTCTCCTCGATGTCGACGATCGAAACGCGCTCATAATAAGGTGATTAATTTCTTTTCCACTCAAGTCGCAATAGTATGACAATGATTGCTGTGATTTTCCTGTCTTCTTGGTGTCGTTCTCATCGGTTTTTTTCTTCTACTGGTACTTGTTAAGAAAAAGCCTGCCCAGGGTAGTCTACCAGGAGCCGCACAGTTGCAATTGGGAAGCTCCGTGTCCAGTACTCCGTCTCAAAGGAACAATTTGTTTCCATAGCCTCCTCCGCCAAAGTAGTAGCAGCCCATCCCTCATTTAGATAAGAAATAGGAATTTGACAGGGGTTTAGTATAAGGCACAATAAATGGTTGTTAATATAAATGTAATACCACAGCTGAAGGCGTGGTTCAACTGTACTTTCACTTGCACTTATTGAAGAGTGGCTTCTAGCGATGTTGACCGTCACTTTCCAATGGCTAAAATTATTCACACTGGGAGCTGTTTTCAGCTATCTAGTTCTCATCATTTCGTCTATTGTTAGAAAATTCTGGTCCAGTAGTCAGTACTTCTTTTGCAGTTTTCATTATCACTGCCTCGCGTTAGTTCTCCAAAAATTCCTCGTTGACTTCAACACAACGGAGAGCCATTATGGCAAATATCAGTGAATCTCATAGATAACCCTTCGTTGCTACGCAACTATTAACAAATCGGGATCAAGTAAATATTCCCTCCTTAACATCAAAAGTACCCTAGTGTACCCAAGAAAAAATGCCCCTTTTCTTAGTTGATCAACACGAAGTAAATTTTTCCAGTATGTGATAATCCATGTGATCAAATGCGTCTGTCATCCTGTGAAATTTCTTCCTGTCCTCAGTAGAGCTCAATGTTGTTCTAACATTAGTCACTTGCAACAGTCACCTGCAGCATACTTCAACGGAACTGACTAATTCACACAATCGAAGAAATATCTTTGTCGCAATAGAAGCAGTGGACGTAATGGCATGTATATGACTGGAGGAGGATCGTCGTCTTAAGCTGACATTGCATATAAGTTCGCTATCGTTCTCCTCCGATATGATTATTGTGCTTATTGGCACAAGGCAAGACGCATTATGTCATCATGTTGTAAGTAAAATAGTCCTTAACTTCCGAAGACTTCCGGATCATATGACACATGACGAGAAAAAAATGAACTTGTTATCATCAGGCTATGTCAAGATCCTTGTTGACAAGGCATCAAAAATTGTGTCAATTCTCAAAGAGGTTTTTGTAGTTGATTGTAATCATGGAGAATTTAGAAATTTGAAAAAAATCCTTACTTTGGGTCAATATTAAATAACATTTCATAAATGATTAATATTTTATCATTTTAATACTTTATCATTCTTCATCAGGCCTTGTTGACAATTCAGTAACTTGTCACAATTACTGTAAATGTTCATTATCATTGAACGGAATCATTGGAAATCTTGACTTTTAAAGAAATGTTCCACTAAGGTAAGACTGAATAACAGTGTAATAAACGTTTCATGTGTTGAGGTATAGATTATCATTATTTCTGGATTAGATTCGCACAATAATGTCAGTTGACTACAACTACCGGAATGCATTTGATCTTCATTCCCTCACTCAAAGTTTTGAACCACAGTTGGATTCAAATAAGATTTATAAAAAAACTTGTCCCAAAATTTCTGAACTACCCTGCAAATTTCCCCTTCCCGCCTGCTGTGGGGCGCCAAATCAGTCAATATGCCCTCTATATTTCTGTGACGCAGTTTACTTTTTATATGGTCAATTCGACTTTTTATACGGTAAACTTTTTACTTTTTATATGGTCAACTCGACATTTTATATGATCTAGCCGACTTTTCATATGGTCAACTTTTCACTTACTATATCGGTCAGTGTAAAACGCAGACCACAGAGTTCAGACTGCAAACTGCAGACCGGGGATAAAGTACAGACTGAGGGTAAAATGTAGACTGAAGACTGCAGACCAGAGATAAATTGCAGACTCGGTCATAAAACAACCCGCTTTACAGGAAAAACTTTAAAAGTAAGCTGGGACCGAGGCCGCGTAAATTGTGAGAGGCGGGCAACTGATGTTTTGAACTTCACTTCCTCAGATGGTTTTGGCGTTGACATATTGTTTTTAAGGTAAGAACAATTAATAACGTGGGTGTTTGAATATGCAGTTCACAGCCAGCTACATACATTTCCCTTGTTAAGGAATAAACAGCTCTGTTAAACAACATTAGGTAGCTTTAACATACGTGTAGCTCATGTATCCCTTGTTCAGCCTTAAAAGTAGTAGCGATAGACTTTCATCACACATCAGCAATTTCGATTACTTGGATATTAAGAACCTGTTTCTCGTACCTTTTAAGCTGCGAATGTAGGCGTGATCTTGGAGTTGGTGCTCTGTATCAGAAGCTTCAAGACGTTCAACACTTTGCTCTTGCGCTTCGCGATCAGGTCGATACCGCGATCATAAACTATTGATTCTTTAAGAACCGAGTCTGCAATTTACCCCTCCTCTGCAGTCTTCAGTCTGCATTTTGCCCTCAGTCTGAACTTTACCCTGTTCTGCAGTCTGAAGTCTGCAGTCTGCGTTTTACACTGACTGATATAAAAAATAAAAAGTTGACGATATAAAAATTCGAGTTGACCATGCAAAAAGTAAAAATTTATCTCATTAAAAGTAAAAAGTAGACGACATAAAGATTCGAGTTGACCATATAAAAAGTAAAACGTTGACCGCATAAAAGTCGAGAATTGACCAAATAAAAAGTAACCTGGGTCACAGAAATACAGAGGGAATATTGACTGTTGCCTAAGCTTGATGAGGAGCTGTAAATCCCTAAACGTGGGGTGGCCGAGACAACGTATTGGCTGAATTCCCAATCGAGTTGATAATTTCAATGGAACAAATGGATCATTGCTGCCTACAAACCCAAAGGCCATGTCTGATGATTAGTTAAATGAGACGAATTTGACCATATGCATCTCTTCTGCACTCAATTTTATTTCTTAGCGCTTCTCGAAACTACAAGTTAAAAACTAATTTCCAGAGTACCAATAACACACCCATCCTATACGCTGTTTCGCCCCGAACATAACCACACCACAAACCCTGCGCCATCTTGTTTTGATAGATTCTAAATACATTGACACCATTTACTTGACCATTTCGGGGACAAGTTTACCGATAATAATTCCGCAGTCACATGCGCAATGTAACTAGGTTTGTTATGCAATACCAGTTAGCACATGACCTCACGGAGGACTATATTCCCATAAACTCATTTCCATGAGTGGTTCTTCATCTCTCGCATCTTTTAGAATATCCATGCAATTATCAATAACTACTAATTATACAACGGACTACTGACTATTATATGGCTTGTCAACACATTATTTTTCTACATATGTTATCTATATTTGTGTACTTTTAACCTGAATTTTTTTCTCTATCTATCATTGTAAATTGTAGTGATACTATATACAAAGGAATATGAAATAAATGATAAAAATGAAAAATTTAGAGGTATCGCACGACAAACGGTGAAACTTGAGTGATTGTTGACGATTCTTGCGTATTTGCACCTGATTTTTAACGTCATAATGTGCACAGAGTTGAAGATAAATATAGGCATATCTTAGGAAGAGAAACATCTAGGTTTTCCGCTCGAAAAAAAAGTACGAAACCTTATTAATAACGCGTGACATCGTGGAGTGGGCCTTTTGTAGTGCCATATGGGCCGTGAAGGGTTCACCTGCAGAGCCTCTTTTCGAGTATTATGATTAAGCCCCCCCCTTTTTTAAGAGCCTGTCGGGGCATACTTTACCGTGACTAACTTACTGCGCAAACATCAACATCTCTATCGATTTCAAAACGCTGAGATTCTGAGGAGATGGCATTGATAGCCAGTTTGATGCTTATTACTTTGGGTAAGTAAAGTAAAGGACAGTTTTTGTTCTACTCTCTGTTCGCCGCCAAGCCTATGGTGCAATTTCGCACTTTTGACAAAACAGGAATGCACTCGAGACGCGTGGAGACCCTGCCTGCGTTTGAATATTTCTTCCAGGCAAAGCAAGGCGGAGTATTCTATGATCAAAATTATTACTAAGACGTCGCAATCCTTTCTTTCGGCAAGATACTCATCAACCGAGATCCACATTTCTACTAATGAACAAAAACTCTTTCTTTTTTTTTTTTTTTAAATCAACACTTCATATAAGGGTACACAGACAGTATTCTCCAAATACAGTCATGAAAACCATATACGTAACATCTCCCTTTCTTTAAAAAACAATAAAACAACTCTAACAGAAATTGACTAAAAATCTGGCTAACTTAAGTTTACACAAAACTTGTGGACGCCGAGACTAAACTTAGTCCCCAACTGAACTTAACGCCTTTACTAACGTTTCATATGAAAGTCTTTGAATCTGGACAGTAAACGAGTACTCCAGGTTCTTGTCTTCTGAGAGACTGGTAAAGCACTGCTTCTGCTGGATAAATGCTCCGCAGGACTTGTGGGTGCTGAGCTTACTGGCTTAGGACTTAAAGATGTGGCAGGCCATGTCGGTGCCATGGGTACTTCCTTGTGATTGACACTAGGTAAGGTTGTACCATCCTTATTGCTTTGCTTGTCTTGAGTTGTAGGCTCTGCTGCATGTTTCAAGAACTGCCTATTCCTTCTGAGAGTGTGATCGCCTGATTTGACCATGTGGGACCTGTCTGAAAGTTTCTTTACGCAAGTAGCTTGCTTCCACGCTTGATTCTTCTGCAAGGGTGCATTTCGGACTTCTTGTCCAATCTCCAGTTCAGGCAACTGTTTTGCTCTTTCGGAAACCACTGGTTACGAATAACTTGTATGGTTCGTGTAACCGTTTTGAAATTTGCCCGTACATTTGCCAAAGTTTCTGACGAAGGATTAAGCTGTTTGACTGTCTGTTCGTCTTTATTCTGGTCGAACGAATTATGTCTTAGGATCTTCCGTTAAACGAACAAGCGGTCGAAGGATTCGAAAGGACTCGACAACCAAGTTCGCGCCTGTACATCAAAGGTGTTACGCGTGAAAGAATGCTTTCCCCAAAGAGAAGACACCTTGGGTATTTGAGCAAGTTGTGCATAGACGCCGAATTATTGATGCGAAACCCCGAAAACTTTCGAGAAATTTGTGCTGAGAAGAAAGTTATTGAAGACGTGTTAGGTAGATGTATGCAGTCGTACGAAGAATATTATCAACTCGCTTTGGAACCCGAAACGAAGGCAGAAGCCCTTAACGATTACTACAGCGTAATGATCAGCAGAAAAGAGTTTGACGAACGTCTTAAAGAGTGGCTACAGACAGTTGAAAGGTCTCCAGATGAAATGTTAGTGTCTTCGCGTGGACCATCATGTTACGCTTTCACGCACCGACTCTAGAAGCGCAAAGTCCAAAAGTTCGAAGGCTAGTTCGCGTACAAGTGAAAGATCGAGAAAGGCAAGGGCTAAATTACTTCGACGAGAAGTAAAACTTAGGAACTTATTAAAGCGTCAAGAAATGGAACAAGAAATGGAACAAGAAATGGAACAAGAAATGGAACAAGAAATGGAACAAGAAATGGAACAAGAAATGGAACAAGAAATGGAACAAGAAATGGAACAAGAAATGGAACATCGCGTCACTGAGATGAAAATTCCAAAAGTTTGAAGGCTAGTTCACGTACAAGTGAACGATCGAGAAAGGTAAAGGCTGAATTACTTCGCCCAGAAGTAGAACTTAGGAACTTGTTAAAGTGTCAAGAAATGAAACGAGAAATGGAGAAGACGAAATAGAGAAGGCCAAGGCGATCGGCGAATTTTATGGAACTTCGGAGTGCTCCAAGTCTATATCGAAGGAAAAGAAAAAAACCATTCTACTCAAGGAAAGCACTGGATCCCACTTTTCCCGCCGCGAAACCACCCAGCATACCACCTCCTCCAAACGGCGACTTGAATCAAGTGGGGAGGACTTATTCAAGATCAGAGCTGAAACCAACTGCCGAACCGTGGTACCCAGCCCCCTCTCGGTCCGCTGCTAGTGGTGAAGATCACATTGTTTCAAAACGGTTACAACAAGTATTGGAGCAGCAACAAGAGGCTTTGCATGTAATGGCCTATTCTCTCCAGCAAGCACTTCAAATGCCCAAAAAAGAGCCTCTCGCTTTCGATGGCAATCCTCTGAATTGCTGGTTGTTCATAAAAAACTTCGAAGTAAACGTCGCTAAAAGGGTTCCAGATGCCGAGTCAAGACTCACGTACCTTATCCAACATTGCACAGGAAAGCTAAAGAAGCCATCAAAAACCGCTTTCTAATTTTCCCACCTGAACATGGTTACAAAAAGACCCAGGGCATTTTTCTACCGTAGATTTGGACAAAAACACTTTATTGCGCACGGGCACATCGAGCAGATAGTTAACGGCCCTCAGCTGAAATGTATGGATGTCGTTGGTCTATCACATCTGTCCGTTCAGATGCAGAATTGTTGGCTGATACTCACCCAAATGGGTTACGAAGCAGACACAAACAGCTCCGACAATCTCGTGAAGATCGTCAAGCGCCTCCCACTACACTTACAGTCTAAATGGGCTAACGAAGCCGGAAACCTGACCCTGACGGGAATTGAGTCCACATTGCCATTTTGCGAAAAATTCGCACGTATTTACCGCTTCCTCAACGCATTCAGTATTACAACTCTATTATTAGTCCGGTTATGAGTTATGTCAGCGCCATCTGGTCTAATTGTGATAAAGAATTGTTATATAGAGTTTTTAAGCTGCAGAAACGCGCTGCTAGAGTCATCCTTTACGCAGAGCGGATGGCTCCATCCGTAGAACTCTTTAATAGACTGAAATGGATTCCTTTTTACGAGAAGTGTAAGATTGACAAAGCGTCGATAATGTTTAAACGAATCCACGGTGCACTACCTAGCTATTTAAACGAGCATATTCCGATCAACAATTCAAGACATTCAAGAACTACGCGCTATTCAAACTTTAATGTACTGTGCCCCAGATATAACAGGGAAACTGAAGGTGGGCGCACTTTTCTCGTCACCGGAACCAAAATTTGGAACGAGATACCACTACGCATACGGATGGCGGACAGCATAAGGTGCTTTAAGCACAACATGTGGACTAATATTTTTTCGCAGCAACAATTTTTAAGTCATTTTCGTGTATAGTTTCCTTTTTAGTTTCTTTACTTATCTTGCAATTATATTATATTATATTAGTTTCTATTTTTATATTGTATTATACTAGTTTTTATATTGTAATTATTTCTGAGTGAGGGCCACAAGTTTATTAGCTATGCTATTATGTGTTACCCTCGTAAAATAAAGTCTTTATTATTATTATTATTATTATTATTCTCGCATTTGGCAAAGTTCCTTGAAGGAAACTGTTTTAGAAGTGGTCACATGGCCATTGACAAAAGAAGTAAGATGAAATGTCAAGTAAATGGCTGTGGGTAGAAGCACCACATAATGCTGCATCCCTTTCGGAAGAAGAACAATGATGACATTGATGGTGGCACCTCCCTGTGGAACGAACCTGCAGTCACTCGGGAGGGGAATGGTACCAACATTACCATCGGGACCGGGGAGCCTGGTCGTTGTAGTGCTACAGAGTCCGGAAAGAAGAATGTACGTTTAGGAATCGTTCCTGTTGATATGAAGGGACAAAGCCAGCACAGCGGAATTGCTCGAACCCAGGATCGGACGTGTCATTATGTGACCTAAGCCTGACCGAAACTTGGTGTGGATGGGAGCCCAAAGGAATTCACCCTTGCAACTGTTAACGGCACATCTGAACCACAAGATGGACGCGAGGTCTCTCTGCTGGTTAGAGGACTTCACCTACATGAAGAAATTATGCTAAATAGAGTCTGGGCTATAGATTATCTAAGTCTGCCTCGAGGTGGTACTCCTGCAGAGGAAGAAAGTGTTAAATGATCTCATATCAGGGGAATAAACGTTCCAGTAATTCAATCAGATGAAGAGTTAGTGCTTATTGGCTGTGACGTTCCCGAAGCTCACTGGGTGTACGACCAGAGACGTGGTTGGACTCTAATGGGGCCTTTGAACTCTGGCGAAAGGAGCTGCTCTAGTGTAAACTTTGTTCGTTATGATGATGAAATGCTTCACCAGCAAATGGAGCGGATGTTTAGAAATGACTTTAACGAACCTATGGTAGACTCGACTATCGCAATGTCCGTGGAAGACCGTAGAGCTCTGACCCAAATGGAAGATTCCGTGAAAATCGTGAATGGTTACTGTTAGCTGGGGAAAAACAATTTTGTAAGCCTGCCGAACAATCGAGAATTTGCGTTGACGAGATTGAATCATCTAAAGAAACGCTTTCAGTGCAATTCTAACCTGTTTGAAAAGTACAAGGAAACCATAAATGGTCTTGTCTCAAGTGGCTATGCAAGATTAGTAACCCGTGGCGAGCCAGAGGTTGATGAAGATACACCAGTTTGGTTCCTTCTCCATCATCCAGGTTTTCATCCACAGAAGCCGAAAAAAGTCAGAATCGTCTTCGACTGTGCAGCCAAGTAAAAGGTACTTCAGTTAATGATCAGACCTGACCAACAGGCTTGTAAGTGTCCCATACGCGTCTGCCAGGAACCCATTTCTATGGTGGCCGATATAGAAGGCATGTTCCACCAGGTGCAAGTGGCCCCTCAGGATTGTCAGGGGTTGAGATTCCTCTGGTGGCCTAACAGTGTCTTAACAGAGGAGCCGGTAGATCACCAAATGCAAGTGCATCTATTCGGGGCTAGATCATCGCCTAGCTGCGCAAGTTTCAGCCTAAAGCAGACGGCTTCTGATAATAAAGGCGAATTTGATCCCGAAACCATTCAAACTGTCAACCGGAATTTCTTTGTGGATGGATGACTGCTTAAAGTTCCGTGTCCACTACAGAGAAGGCAGTACGAATTTCCGGCCAGTTGAGGGAACTTTAGCCTAGAGGAGGATTTTGCTTAACAAAATTGCTTAGCAACGACAGAAATGTAATCGCTACTAATCCAGTGACAGAGAGAGCACCATCAGTTGTTAATCTTGTCTTAGATGATCTTCCAACTGATTGGACATTAGGCATCCAGTGGGATATGGAGTCAGACAGTTTCAGCTTCCGCATCTTGGACCAGGAGAAGACACCTATCCGTAGAAGGATATTATTAGGTGTCAGTTCGATGTATGATCCCTTGGGTTTCGTGGCACCTGTGATCATTCCCGTAAAGAGCTTGTGTAATCGGAAGAACGGATAGGACGAAGAACTATCGGACGAGAATTCCGTGATTTGGCAAGGATGGTGAAGAGAGCTTGACAGTTTAAGAAAATTATAGGTGTCCAGATGTTTTAAGCCAACAGGACTCGGAGGGGTCACCAAAGTTCAACTCCACCATTTTTCGGATGCATCAGAAAATGGCTACGGAGCGGTTTCCTACTTACAAATCGTTGACAATGAAGGCCTGGCAAAGTGTTCCTTTGTCCTTGCCAAATCTTGCGTGGCCCCCTTTAAAGTGATGGCTATACCACGCCTTGAGTTAGCCGCTGCTGTGGTGGCAGTGAAACTTAACTGCCATATTTGCAACAAGCTCGAGTATCACATAGACGACACCATGTACTGGACAGACTCCACCGTGGTTTAACAGTACATTCGTTTGTCGCCAACAGAGTTGCCATGATCCACGACGAATCAACGCCCCAACAGTGGAGACATGTCAACACCGGCTCCAACCCTGCTGATGTTCCTCTTGAGGAGCAAAGGGGGCAGAGCTGCACAAAGTAGATTTATGGCTTCATGGACCAAAGTACCTGATGAAGAACGAAAATTCTTGGCCCAAACAATCCTTGAACTTGCCTGATTTGTCCAAGGACGACAACGAACTAAAGAAACCAACAGGTCAGCTCAATGTAATCGACCATGGAAGCAGTCTTGAGCCATTGTTTTCTCGCTACTCATCCTGGGACACCTTGCGTAGGGCAATTGCCTGGATGGCTCGATTTAAGAAGTATATGCTCAATCGCAGTTCTAAGGGGCAGCACAACGTCCCCAGAGGACCCCTTACCGTAGTAGAAGTTACTGGAGCCAAGAATGACATCGTCAAAGTGGTACAGAATGATGCCTTCCCAAAAGAAGTAGACCGTTCTAGCTCGATTCACGATTTAAACCTAAGTTTCCATTAGCAATAGGGGCATTCGGGTCCTTCTCATGTCCTGGCTGCCATTAAACTGAAATATTGGATAGTGCAGGGACTTTCAGCGGTATGCAGGGAACTAGCGAAGTGCATGAATTGTCGCGAATGGAGTGCCCATACTGGTGAACAGATAATGGTTCCACTACCTGCGGTAAGAGTTGCTCCATTTGATCCACTTTTCACACAAGTGGGTGTGGACTATTGTGGTCCCCTGTTCGTGAAGCAAGGAAAAAGTGAAGTGAAACGATATAGCTGTTTATTCACATGTCTAACCATGAGGGCAGTGTACATTGAGATTGCACATACACTAGAAGCAGACTCTTCATCTGCACGTATTAGCGTTTTTTCAGTCAAGGAGGAAAGCCCTAGGCAATATACAGCGATACTGGCACCAACTTTACTGGCACGGAACGAGAGTTGAGAGGAGCACGTCTGTGACCGGTTAAGGAAGGACGATGTTCAATGGTACTTTAACTCGACAGCAGCCAGCCATCAAGGTGGAATGTGGGAACGTAAGATCAGGTCTGTTCGGAAGATTTTGGACGCCCTGCTGAAGGAGCAGCGCATCAAGGACGAAACACAGACAACCCTGTTGTGCGAGGCAGAGAGGATCCTCGATGACAGACCCTTGGCCTCCCTAAGCGACAGCCCCAACAATCCTGAGCCGTTAACGCTCAACAAACTGTGGCTCCGTAAGTCTAACACTTACCTTCCACTTGACGTATTCAGAGAGTAACACATGTACAGAAAACGCAGGCGTCAAGCACAATGCCTTCTGGAAAAATGGTTGATGGACTACTTGCCCGCATTGCAGAGAAGACAGAGATGGTACTTGCCACGCTGCAATTTTGTCATGGGTGATTTGATCCTTGTTGTTGACGAGAGAGCGCACGGGGTCATTGGCCAATGGGTGTCCTCGAGGACATGTACCCCGACAGTAACGGACATGTCCGAAATGTGAGAGTCAGAACCGCATCATCTGTGTGCAAACGAGACATCAGGAGGCTCTGTCATCTTGAAGCAAATATGAACTGCGTAAACCAAGTAATTTGTTATCTTTAGTTAAAATCAGCCCAGGTGGCTGATTCGGGGCCGGGGTGTTGTTTAAGGGCCAGCGGTTTATCTGCAAATTAGGACATATACTGAAATTTTTGCGCGAAAAGAACAGTAATGTTATGCAGTTTGTCGTGCTATGATCGTTTCTTTGCTGCATCTCGTGTACTCCTTCTATCCAAACCGTCAAGTACGTTTTGCGTTGTCTTTTGCCGTTTGATGTTTCGCTTTGTGATCGTAATTATTATTGTCGGTAGTTGGCTGTAGTGTAATTTAAGTTAATCATGTTTTAGAAACCACTGGTTACGAATAAATTGTATGGTTCGTGTAACCGTTTTGAAATTTGCCGGTGCGTTCGCTACATTGGCCTTTCGCCTTTTCCACTCCAACTGCTCTGTAGAGTCTGGAATTATTTCGGAAAGGGTAAGACTTGTTTTTGTAGGTGGTAGAGTTCGTGCTCTTCTAGATATAAGCCTTTGAGCAGGGCTGGCTCCTAGACCTCTTATAGGGGTGCTCCTATAGTCTAAAAAAGCTAGCCAAGGGTCTTTACCGTCGCGTTCAGCTTTCTTGAATAGCTGTTTGACCGTCTTGACTAAAGATTCAGCTTTACTGTTAGCCTTTGCATAATGTGGTGATGACGTCACATGGTTGAAATCCCAGCTGAGTGAAAACTTGCGAAATTCCTGACTGCTAAGCTGTGAACCATTGTCTGAAACAAAAGTGTCCAGAATCCCATGTCTACTGAGTTGCTGTTTAAGAACTTGAATAACAGCATGTGTGATAGTATCCTCAAGTTCTTCAACTTCAACAAAATCTGAGAAGTAATCAACGAATGTGATGTAATTCTTCCCGTTTACTGTAAAAAGATCTGCAGCAACTTTGCTCCATGGCCTGTCAGGAACTTTATGAGATTTCAGAGGCTGACCACAATTTTTTGCTTAAAAATCTG